GCCAACAACATTGAGAGTAACATCCTCCTCTCCGCCCCTTAATGCTCTCTGGTCGCTATGGTAACGTGTAAATATTTCTTTAAAATAAGACACACAACTACAATTCTGGAGAAGACCCAGGGAAACCGAGTTAACAATAAAAACCCTGAAAACCATAAATTTCACGCCTTGACTCTTGAGACTCACGGACTGGTACCGGTCTGTGGCCCGGGGATTGCTGCTATACGGTATTTATATTCTCTATACAGAGCTTACATTTAGCAAACAACCTGTCATAAAACCAATAAAACAGAATATTTTACAAGCCTGTCAAAAACTTCTTTAAAGCAAAAAAAAAAATCATATTATTCAGTGGAACTCCGACTTACGAAATTAATTCGTTCCCGAGGGTCTTTCGTAAGTCGAAGCACCCATCGCGCGTTTTGACTGAGGCGATGCTGAACGATAGGCTACAGGCTAATTGCTAACTACAACAACAATACGTTGTTCAAGTGGAACAGCAAAGGGGTTGTCACCATCTACAGTCAATGGTTGTCACATGATTTGGAAGGCATTGTGGGCATTGTAGGCTCAGCCAATCAGAGCCAGCAGATTTTGTTACACGAGCATTTTGCCGTAACGCGGGCAAAAATATTGCCGCTCAGTGCCTTCGTAACTTGAATTTTTCATGAAACGGGGTATTCGTAAGTCGGGGTTCCACTGATAATAATAATATTATTATTATTCATTAGGCAAATATGCATTTTATACCAAATTTGAGCAGGAACACTGGAATTCTTGTCAGTAATTAATTAAGCACAACATTAAACCAATAAGACTAATTTTTCGTGTTCGAGAATTCAAGTAAATAATTGTCTCAGTTATGGTGGCGTTCTGATAAATGTGTTAAGCACTGTGTCCTGCTACCAGTACGTTTGAACAGAGGTGTGAGGTAACAGTGTTGGTGGAAAGTTTGAGCAGCGCTGTCAAAGACCGAGTCCTCTGTCTGCCCTCAACCCTCCAAACACCGGGGTGAACAGCTACTTTTCCAGCCTCTCAGACTACACACAGCGTCCTAACAGCTGGTGCAGAACGCTGCTAAATTTTACTGTATAATCTTCAAAGTATAACCGTCTCTTTCTTCTCTTTCCTCTCCTGCCTCAGTATAATTCTCGGCCTTAACATTTAAAAGCCTGTTTTGACTCTTAGTTTGAACAGACATATATCCTGAACTCAGACTGGGCTCCGCAAAAACACTTGAATAAATCCTTTTGTCCTCCTCCGCTGCAAGAGGTAGTGCCACTTCTGTGTTAAACACCTAATTCTTAAAATGCTGATCATGGCTAGGCAAATAAATGTCTCAGCTGGTCTGTTTGTAGCAACAGACCAGCTGTAGCAAAAAAAATAGAAAACCTATGAAGTAAATATTTCGTTTGAAAAATTCCAGATTAAAAATGACCTAAAACTGAACATTAGACTGAGTCATCTGCATTTTTTCAACTTTGACCATATTGTGAAAAAAAACCCAAACAACCCCAAAACATTTTTTTTTCTTTGCCCTGTGGTGCTAGTTGCCATCCATACATCGGTGTGAGATGCCAAGTTTTGGAGCCATCAGCTGTCTTCTCTTGAACATAATGGAACTAAATGACACCTTTCTTGCAGCAATGTCTCCTTGCAGAAGCCATGACCTGGTTACTAAATATATAGGAACTGCTGTCTTTCACCAGTCATATCATTGTGCACAAGAAAGTGTCCATCTACCTGTGAAACGAGGCTCAAGCTATGCCAGGATAGAAACACTGCTCAGTCCAAAAGAAAGAAAATAATGCTAACGCTACCTTGTGCATTCCTTTTTCCCTGAGTAATGGGGTCGTGACTTCTTGAAGAGGTGCTGTTTTCTTGAGCACAACAATGCAAAGTGCTCCTGCAATTTAGTTTCATTTTATTCACAAGCAGGCAAACATCTACAGCCAGTATTTACAAAACCGGAGCAACTCAAAACTAAATAATCAAGATGGATAAACTGCTCTGCAGGCCAGTGGAAAAAAAATGAGCATATTTGACTTTGGTGGGGGTGAACAAGTGGAACAGGACGTCTTCTATTACATGAAAGCATCCTCTCTTAAGGAGTCAAGTCACAGACAGCTGTTACCCTTCTTTGAGTTCAACATCGCTTCACAGTTATGGGAAGTTAATTGGTGCTGTGGAAAACAATCCACACTGTCAGTAAAGACATAGGATGCCACAAATCAAGCTGGTTTGTGTTTCGCACAATGCTGCCATCGATCCTCGTCTCTCCCGCTGCCGCGTTTGAACGCGGCTCAACAAAGGATTACAGAGGATAACACGCTACAAAGCGTTTGCAGTGATTTATCATGAATTTAGCTTCCTGCAAAGGGAAGGAATGGGATGAAATCGCAGATGAAACACTCGTGTAACTTGTACTCGAAAGCGTGAAAACAACTACGTCATAACAAATGGTCTCAGATTCTTCTGCCGTTGTCCTGAATGTGAACTTCCACTAAAAGCTTCATTTCTGAGCCAGACTCGTCTGAGAAAACACACACAGCTCAGAATCCACAACTGACTTCCTTCCCGAGTAGCGTGTGACAATGTACCAAACAATAATGCCAGCTGTAATCGCTTCAGGGAAGGAGGACAAACAGAGGCCATTTCCCCAAAGTCACAGGTTCACACCTTCAACCAGAAATGACAGGTGCTCTTATGTAAAAAACAAACACAAAGCCTTGAATACATACCTTGATTTTTCATGATGTAGTGGACAATCTGTCCAACCGTGTCATTGTTGTCACTGAAGGTGTCATTGAGCTCTGGAAAAACAAACACACACGAATAGAAACATCAGTATTATTAGGCACTGAGCTGAAGGGTCGCCCGCTACAGAAACATGATACATGTTGAAAGAAAGTCAGCCTCACACAACTATGCCAGGCACTGAGGAGCAAACAACTCCTGCAGCTTAAAACCTAAAATCCTGCATCTGAAGAGGAAAAAAGTCTAAAGGTGTTTCCTGAGGACCCAACATCCAACCTCACCCTGAATTATATTAATAACCTCCTGCAGAGATGCACTGATTGACTGGCTAGAGGCCGATATCATCTGATTTCCACTGTTTAGAAGTTTTCTACATCAGTGAAAACGAAAAAATCTCCAAAGTGAAAATCCTAATCTTAATCAGACACCTAAATCACCCTCACCCAGAATTTTAACAAAGGCAACGTGGCTGAAGCTAAAGCTATCCAGAGCTCAGAGCTAGCCACAAGCAGCCTCGGTATGAGCAAACGATCAAAGCAGTTATAAGGAAAATTATGGAGACAATCAGAAAAGAGAAGCTGGTCCATGTAAGTGAATAGTGACAGCTGGGGCAGGCGGCATCCTTGAGTTGGATCAGAGGATAAAAAATGGATGGAGCTTCAGTAAATTTTCATATAAAAGCTGGTATTTAAATCGTGGGTAAGTAGTGGTCAGCAATAAACAAATCAAGGCTAGTAAAAGCACAGCACCAGTTCAGTCAGTGCAGTCTCCTGCTCACGCTGCACTGAACTAATTCCAGTCACTTTCTCCTTTACTTTACTGATCGGATTTTAATATACATACAGATTTACATATATATACACATTACACACTACAATGTTGTGTGTAGAGTATGCATAGAGAGAATTAGAAGCACAGACTTTAGTAAAAATACTCTCTTCATGCATGTTCTTCTATTCTTGGCTTTACAGGATGGCACAGAGAGAAGTTAGTGGATTTCTATAACTTCTCAGGAATAAAGCTTTGCGTTTGTAAGAAGAAGAAGAAGAAGAAGAAAAAAGAAGAAGAAAGTCTGCTTAAAGGGGAAGGTGGCCTTAAAGGAAAAGGAGCTAAAAACAGCTCAGCTCAGGCGGTTGGGGTTGAGCCTAATGGCACAGGAAAATGATGCACAGGGCGCATTTAGGTTGCCTATAACCTAAAACGGGTCATTCTTTAGGACTGAATTCTGGTTTCCATATTTCTTTATGTCTAAAGCCAGCATTCGAAACAGCAAAGTAAAGCCAAGCTGATGCTAAAAGCCTCCGTGCAGCTAAAGGGAAGGGGAAAATTCATAGTGGATTTTTTGTGGCCCTTATACCGTATCGCACTTTGATCCATTGTTGACATCAGAAATATGTTTTAGCACAACTATAACGCTTCTGTGGCAGATGTTTATCGACCACACACAGAGCTAAAATGTTCCTTTTGAGTGATTATTGCCAGGAAGAATCAATGACTGTCCCTCGCTCACGCCGTCCCCGGACGATACTTCCTGCCATTTCTCAGAAGGAAATTGTCCGATTTCTATAATATTGCAAATTTGTCGCACTAATCATTCAACTATGCAGAACAAATCCACTGGTCAGCACACACCCCTGTGAGGCACTTCCTGGAGTTTCCTTTTGATCGCTTCCTCAGTTTTTCCTTGCTACTGATAAACGTAAATTGGAATCCTCTGGTATGCCGAGGCTGACTGCAACAGGAAACCTGACACTGAGGAGAAAAAAAAAGGAACACTTGACCTACTGACCGAGCGAGGCCGCAACACAAAAGCAGTGTTGTGTTTTTGTTCTGACGTACGATAGGGTAGGGCTTTTTGAAGAAACAAACACAAACAAACAAATAGATGGCAGGAAAAACCCTAATGGACTCATGACTATTGTGCTGCCGGCAGGGAGGGAGCTTGCACTTACTCAATGAGCGAAACTCACTTCACGCCTGTACTTTTCCAATACCAGCGCTTGACGTAAGAAACTGAGTTGTAATCCAGCGGTACCCAACCCCCCGGGCCTCGGACCGGTACCGGTCCGTGAGTCGTTTGGCACCGGGCTGCGAGAGTTGAGGCTCAGGTGTGAAATGTATGGTTTTCAGGGTTTTTATCGGTTTTCAGCGTTATTTTGTTATCGTTTTTATCGTTAACTCGGTTTTCCTGGGTCTTTTCACGTGTATTATGAATAAATCTTCTTTTTTTTTCGGTACTGGTACTAGTTTTATTTTGTTGTATTTATCCGCAACACCTTAAAGGCCAGTCCGTGAAAATATTGTTGGGCATAAACCGGTCCGTGGCGCAAAAAAGGTTGGAGACCGCTGTTGTAATTCACACAGTTAACTGGAAAGATTAGTGGGAATGGTGGGGACATCATATGTAAGGGAAAACACTGGCGTGCGGTGCATTGCGTGATGACAGGAAGTTGGACAGCGCAGCGTAAACAGCTTATTCTTTCCATAACATTTCTCATGCCTGCGACAGAGCCAGGGTGATTGCAGAGATTTCACATATGCGCTCAAGAATTACTAGAAAGACAGACGAGCAGGCACGGCAGATGTAGGAGGAGAAAAACTGAGTGAAGTGCGCACACAAATCCCACAGTAATTACGTTCCACCTCACTGAACTCCACATGAATGGATGAAGGGAATGCTAAAAGTCTTCCTGGTTTCTGCTGGCCTGCTTCCAAATAAAATGACAGAGACGTTCTAAAAATGCACCCCAACCTCCAAAAAAGCATTTCTAAGCTCACGTTTGTCTATTTCATCTTCTGAACGCATAAACACTGAATAACGTAATAAGTTCAGTCTGTTTGTCTGTTATACAGGAAGAGCTTGAAATGCTATTGCTTTGAGATGCCATTCACGTCACACGCCACCGCCTGCGTCTACGTTAAGTAACACACACGAAGTAATTAGATTCAGGAATGTAGTCTAGGGTTGAAAGCCCCAGAACGAAGGTGATTTCTGCCTTCTAGACGTCTTATTACCACATGACAGGCTAATGGAAAAGTTCACATGGGCCGATGACTAATTTGGAAACTCGTGCAAAAAAAGAAAAAAAATAATCTGCTGTGCGACAGCATCACAGTGGATTTACTGAGACGTGGACAGGCGTGATCATAAATACTTTAAATCCTTTAGATTATGAAACAGTTAACGATAGTATTTATGACGAGCAATGCGTAATTACACAGTGCCTTGAATCATGTGGACGTTGGATGAGTAAGAGATTTGAGGTAAACAATGCACACAATAGAGCCTCTCGTTTTACAGCTCTAATCTGCTGCCAGCTCAACATGTCATGAGACCTGAATCACAGTCTCATGCTGAAAATGGAGCGTCAGCGGGGTCCAAAAAGATGACAAATGTTTAAAACAAAAGAAAGGGGAAATAGAGACAGTGGGTGAAGAGAAATGATTTCATTGTTTTCTCGGTTGTGCAGAGGCTAAGCTAAAGGACCGACAACACTGACACTGCCTGCAGGAGGCCGGGTACACCTGGATCTGCATCATAGTCATGTTCTGCTATTGAAACTGTGAAGCCAGGTCCCAGTTTTGAATTTGAGAGACAGACACAATCTCTACATTTAAGATTAGGCTTGAAACTTTCTTCTTTGATAAAATTGATAGTCAGGGCTGAATCAGAAGCCTGCCTTTGTTATGCTGCGACAGGCTCAGTCCACTGCGGGACTTCACGTGACGCACCGAGCGGTACTCCTCCACTCACCTCTTCAAACTGCCTGCGTGTTTATGCATCACTGCAACATATCATTACATTTTTGCCCTCTGTCTCCATCAGTCTGGGTTTTTGTCCCGTCTCCCTGCGCTCTCTTTTGTCTTCTCTTTCTTTTCCCCCCTCCTTTCCCCTGCATCCACCAAATGATCGAGGCCCTCCCTGAGACTGGTTTTGCTGGAGGTTTCTTCCTGTTAAAACTGAGTCAAAACTAAATTGAATCTGTAAGGCTTGTTTTAATTTAACCGGTCCTATCTTTGACAATGAACTGGTGTTACCTTGGCTTATTTAAAGAAGAAAAAAAAAGGCCTTTTTTTCTGAGAAGACACATCAGCAACACAACGACACGATGTAACAATCGTCTTTGTCCTCCCTCACGTCCACTTGGATTAATATGACATGGCTGTGGGATAATCTTTGGCTTGTATTGTATATAGGCGATGGATGATTTAAGCCTTAGACTCAATAAAAACATAAATCCAACGATACTGTCAAATTTCTCAGAACCTCCAATGACCACCAGAATCTCTGAAACGTTACCTCCGCCCAACTCGGGATCTTTGACCTCTTCCTTACACTCCTCCTCGTCATCATGGTCTGTGGTGCACCGGTAGCCCTTCCTTTTCAACACATGACAGATCACCACACCGAGCAGGCCCAGAAGGAAGAGAATAGGCACCAGCACAAAGGCGATGTAGTACGGATTGGTCCCGCCGCTCTTTCCATTGTCACCAGCTGGAGGATGAGAAACTATTTAAAGAAAAAAGAAAAGAAAAAAAAGCAGTAATTCAATACATTTTTGTAAGGCGGCGCAGAAAAACAAAACCCTTGTCCTCACAGCACCTTTCACTGCAACCTGATCTCTACGAAGGGTGTGAGGGGAACACATGAAGGGTGAGCCGAGCAGCTGATGGGATTCAAATGTTATCCACTGCAACATGAACTTGACGCATTTACAACTTTGAGCACGCATTTAGGAAGCAAACTTCAAAAAAAACAAAAAAGCTGTGAAGAACACTGGGAATGTTTTCCAAGGTTTTTAGTTTCTGTCTTCGACTGTTTTTTCCCCCTTTTATTGATTTATTTCTGAGTGAGAGAGGAGAGCAGGTACTCCTGTAAGGCTGCTGTAAGCCAGCTTTACAAGGGTCCCATAAACTGTGATAGCAGTCAGTCACATGTTTTATTTAAGGTGACTTTAATGCATGTTAAACATAACAGATGTAACCCAACCTGGGCGTAGGGGGCGGTTACATCATCAGACAGACTACTGCAGAAAGCAGACGCAAGGACCATAAACATCTCACCATTTTAGCTCAATCTGCCTCTGCTCCCACTCCTACCTGCTTACGCGGGGGTCTAAAGTCCAGATTATTGGATTGGGTACAATAAACATCTCCTGGGCTCCAAATCCTGTACTTTCAATTAAAACAACAAAAATATATTTTGAAGATAAAAAAAATTTCCGGAGGTCTTGCCACTGTCATCCAGGGATGTCAAACTCACTTTACATCATTGGCCACACACAGCCTACTTTGATCTCAAATCCCAAACCAGTTTACTACACATTCAAACCCTGAGACGTCTTCATATCAGAAAAAAAGAAGTGCACTTTCAACAGAATGTCTCCGTTTTTCTACTTGACAAAGAAATATTGCTGCAGTAAATCAAGGAAACCTGTCAGCAGGCCTTGCACGTGTATTTCTTACATTTAAATTGTAAGAAATAAATGTGCAAAATTTAAGAAGATGTGCTGGTAGCTCGGTGCCCAGATTTTTAAGTAATTATAAAACAGAACGTTTTTGTTCTTCACAAAAAAAAAAAGTCCTTTTCCCCAAAACTGTGGACTTATTGTAAAAAACAGAGCTTTCTAAAGTAGATTGTGAAAAACAGGCACCCATCTGTCATTTAGTTGTGTATTCATTACTTAATTACTTTGTTAAAAGACACAGAGATACCACATTTCCTCGAACAGTAACATTTACCTTAGTGGTGGTAGGCCTGTACTTGAAGCAGGTAAACAGTGTTAATGTTTACCTGATCTAAGTAAGTTTTTACTGTAGTATTCACATGATAGCAAGTGATGACTCTTCCACTGAATGAACTTATAAGCTCACCCAAAGCTCATGGGGAAAAAAAATTGCTTAAAAATCATAATTCATTGTATTTACGCTGCACGGTCAACAGAGGACTGCTTGCACTAATCTGTGACAGCAGGGATGCTCATCAAACCAGCCACCCACTGCACCCATGGTGTCACCGCTAATTATGATAAATAAAATACACCATGAGCAAAATAACTTTTAACCTGACTTCCATTAGATTTGCTGTTGCAAGTACAATACAAGTCCCTTCAATTCAATTCAATTCAGCTTATATAGCACCAGTTTACAACAGCAGTCCCCTCAAGGTTTTTATTATATCGTAAAGGTAAAGACGCTACAATATTAGATAGAAACACCGGCGGTCACATCACCCCCTATGAGCAAGCAGGAAGAAACCCTGGCAAAACTAGGCTCAGGAAGGGACAGCCATCTGCCACAACCGGTTGGGGTTGATGGGAGGGGGAAGCGAGCACAGAGAAGAACAGGACAAAAGACACACTATGTGTGACAGAGCCACAGTTCAGTAATGAATAACTGCAATACTGGTGTATAATACAACAG